GCCTTCGACCCATTATGCCATCTCGCATCAATATCTCGAGTGGGAGTGGCAGGAAAAGATGCGCCACCCGAATTGGTACGGTTGCACGTATCACATTTTCTACCCTTCAAGCGGGCCTTCCGCTCTTATGGCACGTAGTAACACGAGACTGGCATGCCACGATAGGCCATTGAACGGGAAACCTCATGGTGTCACAAGCGCGGGGTGACACGTGACACGTATTGGCCACACACGAGCCAGGAAGATGAATTTTGCTCTCCTCCACGGGTTTGCACGCTCTGCGTCGCATCTCGGCACTCCGGGTACGGACCCACTCGGGAGCAGCATGCATTGACAGGGAATAAAATGGGCAATTACCTGGTATAAATTGTCATGCTGCACGTGCTGAGTCACGCCTGTACGAGCCAGGAAGATGGGTTCGGCCATTTCCGACCTACTTTTTGTGTTTTGCACCAGTGCAAAACGCAAAAATGTTTTACGTACGTTTTACGTACGTTTCGTACGTTTTGGTGATGCGATCGGAAAGGATTCACACGTGGATCTGTAAGCCGGCTTAGCTCAGTGGCAGAGCACTGGTCTCGTAAACCAGGGGTCGTGAGTTCGATCCTCACAGGCGGCAATCGGGGGTCGCTGGGGGGATTGTCAGTAAGCCCCCAGCGCGTTTTACGATTGGCTGTGCATAACTGGTGTTCAATAAGACCAAGGTATGCACGGGCTCGCCCTGACCTCGCTCTGTGCTCGACCTAAAATCGAATGACTTTCGCACACTTCTAACCAGCGCACTGGTTGCTGGTGCTGGCATCACTGAAAGTAGGGCATGCTCAGTTTCGTATGGGCTGCGTCCTCAGGGCTGACCACTCGCAAGAGAAAGATAACTGCGAACTACCCCGATGGCGCCGTTGCTGGCTAAGTGATGGAATATTAGGTGCGAATGAATGTACGTAATCTGCTCTACGCCTGTCGGGACGGGAGTTTTCAGTTTAAGCCTGGCATTCATAAAGAGTTTTCAGTTTAAGCCTGACATTGATAAAGAGTTTTCAGTTTAAGCCTGACATTGATAAACTTTTCCTAGATCGGCTCCTACTCAGTGGGCGGCAACAGCTTGGGAGTGATCGTCTTGTTGCGATCCTACTTAGCGCCGTGGCTACCAACGCCCGAGGCAGCGGTTTACGGGAATGGCCTGCCTTTAAACAGATCCCTCGATCCGATGCCCAGCCTATGGGCACGGCCTGGCTCTGGGTCGCAACAACCCTCTGACCACCGGTTCCGAGAAACTGGAATGGTTTTGCTGTATGCATGGATGCAACGCCAGGCACTCAAATAGCACGCGCGCGGGCAAAACTGTCCGGCAAAGGCGCCGAAAATTGAGCATCCGCAGTGCCTGGCGTGTGATAGTAACTAGCTTCACCAGAACCTCATGATGGCGCGCCAAAGATACACCAGTCAGCTGAAGGTCACTAGAATATAAAGTCATAAGATATGCTGCTATTTGCGTGTTCTTTGACTCAGCAGACCTTCAAGCTGTCAGCTAGAAAGAACTGCTGAGTACCTCAATTAAAACAAAAATTTGTACGGTTTAATTATCGCGTGTGTGTTCCACCAAAGCCGGTATTCACCACATTTCGGCGTCGTGTATGCATATATCTAAGTAAGGTGACCAAGCATATTGCATTGCAAGTACCACCTGCTTAAATAACAAAAGAGATGCTTCTTCACAACATAATGTTTCTGCGTATGCCACAGTTTTATTTCTTCCAGCCAGCCTTCTACATGACACATGGGGTGTGGCCAAGACAAAGAGATAAAGACGCTGATGGCTGCATGTCACTCAGTCACCAAACGCTCGGGTGAAGCCATTATTCGAGATTTTCGTGCCTGATAACAACTTCAGCCAAGGTAACGAACACTCGCTTTTTATTGGACGGCAAGCGTCCGCTACCTTATCATCTTCATGCATCATAATTAACTCAGACATTTGCACTCAAACCATGCTTTCAAGCTCCGGCCTTTTCACTTTCTAAGCAGATAAAGCACATTAAATGGCACTTATTGCTTATCGCACCCCAGACCTTTGCTGAGAATCAAGTCTCACATTCCCAAAGCCTGTAACGAGCCGAGAGCCCTGGTAGTGGCCTCCTCGCTCCGTCCTCGTCCTGATCTTGGGCTGATTCCAACACAACGCTGACAAGCGGACTGTTGGAGAATAAGGAAAACTGGTAATTTCCCGGTAAAGTTGTAAAGAGTCTTTCAACAGCAAAACCGTAGCATCATTCCAGTTTCGATAACTGTTAGTATGCCGACGCCACATACACTTTGCCATATTCTCCACTATCGATGGCTGGAGCCTCTGAGACGGCGCCCTCTCGGTTTGGCTTCATGGTCAGGTCGGAGTGGGCGGGACGGGCAGATACGCTATGCAGCAGTTCAGTAGAGGCAATAGTGTGCTTAAAACCCAACGAGCAGCGCCGCTAGGGGAGCCTACGTTATGTACAATGCCGCCTGTGAGGATCGAACTCACGACCCCTGGTTTACAAGACCAGTGCTCTGCCACTGAGCTAAGGCGGCTCACACTTTGCCGTGAATCACACCTGGTCGAGCCACCCGTAAATCCCACACAAGTGGCCTTAATATCGAGCGAGCCAGACAGCGTACCGAATGCAATTAGTCCAATGGTTTTTGGAGGGTGCATTCATCTGAATATCATTTTGTCGAGACGACGTTTCGCTGCTGTGTTTAGGTGCTTAAATGCTGATGATCGAACGGCATTTTGCCGACATGCCTTTTTGCCGACGTGTCAAGTTCACGTTATGCTGAGTCAGAATGTAAGTTTGCCGAACGCCTATGTCCACGCTTAGTTCACTGATTATTTACAGAAACGGTCCTTTGTTAAAGACTAATTTACCGAAACGCTCTTCAGTTCATGCGAACCGCCAAAACATGTTTTAGTCAATTTAAGCCACTTATGATCGCACTGGTGTTGCGATCGGACGGGATTCTCACAATTATCCATGCGCCGGCTTAGCTCAGTGGCAGAGCACTGGTCTCGTAAACCAGGGGTCGTGAGTTCGATCCTCACAGGCGGCAGTCGTGGGCCAGTGGCGGATTGTCGGTAAGCCCCCAGGCCGTTTTGCGATCGGCTGTACATATCTAGTGTTTAACAAGATCAAGGTATGCACGGGCTCGTCCTGCCCTCGCTCTGTGCTAAACCTAAAATCGAATGACTTTCGCACACTACTGACCAGCGCACTGGTCGCCGCTGCTGAGATCATTGGCAGTAGAACACACTTAGTTTCGTGTTGGCTGTGTCCTCATTGCTAATCAGTCGTAAGAGGAAGGTGGCTGTGAACTAACCCGATGGCGTAGTTGCTGGTTAAGTGATGGATGTTATGCACAAGGGAATGCGCACAATCTGCGCTGTACCTGTTGAGATAGAAGGCTTTCAGTTCGATCCTGACATTGGTAGATTTGCCTGGACCAGCTTCTATTCAGTGGGTTGTAGCAACTCGGATGTGATCGTCTCGTCGCGATCCTAATTAGCGTCGTGCGGTTCACAGGCATGGTCTGCCTTTAAACAGAACCTTCGGTCCGATTCCTCCACCTCTGGGCACGGCCTGGGTCTCGATAGAAGCAATCCTCTGACAAGCGGTCCTGAAAGATCTGAAGAGTTTCGCTGTATACGTGGGTGCTAGGCTGGGCACTCAAATAGCAGGAATGCGGCCAACACTGTCCGGCATGGGTGCCGAAAATGGAGCATCCGCAGTGCCTGGCGTGTGATAGCAGCTAACTTGATAAGAACCTCGTGACGGAGCGCCAAAAAAACCACAGTCAGCTGAAGGTCACTGGGACGTATAGCACACGATGTGCTGCTCTTTGAGCCGTCTTGGGCTCAGCAGACGTTCAGGTTGTCAGTAAAGAAGACCTGTCTGTCACCTCAGTCAAAACAGGAATTTCTACGATGTGATTATAGCGTGTTCGTTCCAACAAAAGCACTATTCGCCACATTTGCACGTCGTGCACGCATATATTGAAGTGTTGTGATCAAGCACATTGCATTGCAAGTATGACCTCTTTAAATAACAAAGGATATGCTTCTTAGCAACATAACGTTTCCGCGTATAGCATCATTTTCATTCCTCCAGTCAAACTACTACACAACGCATGGTTTATGGTCAAGACACAGAGATAAAGACGCTGATGGCTGCATGTCGCTCAATCACAAAATGCTCGGGTAAAGCCGTTATTAGAGATGTTCGTATCTGATGACAGCTTCAGCCAATGTAACGAACACCGCTTGTTTATTTGATCGCAAGCGCTTGCTACCTTACCATCTTCATGAATTATAATAAGCTCAAACATCTACGCTCAAACCATGCTTTCAGGCTGCGGCCTTTACACTTCCTGAGCGGGTTAAGCATATTACATGACACTTATTACTTATTGAATCCCACACCCTGGCCGAGGATCAAGCCTCACATTCCCAAAGCCTGTCACCCCCACAGCCCTGACAGTGGCTTCCTCACTCTGGGCTCGACCTGACCTTAGGCTGATTCCAACACAACGCTGACAAGTGAACTGTTGGAGAATGAGAACAACTGGCAATTTGTCAGGTAATGTTGTCAGTGAGACAGTGTCTTTTGGCAGCAAAATGTTATCATTTTACCAGCTTCTATGAAGCTTGGTGTGCCTCCTGCCATGTGTGCTTTGCCACATTCTCCACACCGACGATTGCTCTGGTGGCCGAGACGGCTTCTTGGTCGCCCTCGGCTGAGCTGCGCTGGCCAGGTCAGGGTAGGTCGGGTCGGGCAGCGGCCGACTGCCTGACCGTCGACCTCGGCTCCCCACTGGCCAGGTCAGGGTGGGCCGGGTCGGGCAGCGGCCGACTGCCTGACCATCGACCTCTGTCCCCACCGGCCAGGTCAGAGGGGGGGCCGGGTCGGGCGGCGGCCGACTGCCTGACCGTCGACCTTGGCTCCCCGCCGGCCAGGTCAGGGGGGGGCGGGTCGTGCAGCGGCCTGACCGTCGACCTTGGCTCCCCGCCGGCCAGGTCAGGGCGGGCCGGGTCGTGCAGCGGCCGACTGCCTGACCGTCGACCGCGGCTGGTCGCCGCTCCGCTTCGACGGGCAGGTGACGGCGAATCGGTCGCAGGCGTCCTCACGGCGACGGCCATGGCTGGAGAACGACGGCTAGGGTCAGAGAGGGTGGCGGCGCAGCAGAACGGCGCAGGCGAGAGCGCTGCAGGACCAACTCGCCCCAAAACTGGGCCAGAAACTAATGCCTCCAGCAATGACCTGCTAAACGTTTGAAATTGAGGGAGGTTGCTGCTGCGATTGAGGACGTGAGCATAGCTTGGAGATGAAGTTGAGACGGCCCAGAAGCACGTAACAGCTCTCAAGCCAAGTGGACAGGAGTGCCGGCATTCCCACCGCACGGGAAGCACACAGTGGCGGCCCGAGCGGCCCACCCACCCGGGCGGCGGTGACGGGCGGTGGGCTTCCTGCAGACAGCGGACCCAGGCGCGACACTCCGGGTGGTCCATGTCCACCGCCCTCACCAGCCGTGTCAGGTCAATCTGACTGTGAAAGCCGATACAGGGTCAGCGATGGAGAGGGTCTTCACCAGGATTTACGAACCCAGTTACAGGCAGTATTCGTGCCTTATTGGCAGAACGTCAACTTCGATGCAGTGTGCTGATATATCGTAAAAACAACAGAACATTAGCTTCTGTTGCCTTCTCGTGTTGCCATATGTTGCCTTCCTCGTCAGTGAGCCAAATATAAGGTGTGTTACTGCGCACAAATGGTATAATCGCGTGTAAGTTAACATCGGCGCAATAAAGCGGGATCGGCAATATTGACACGGGACTGGACCGGAACTGAAGGTACGAAACCCGTCTACGATCGCATACCAATGCAAACCGCCCACCAAAATAATTAAATTGTTGTCTGTCGCTTACCCGTCCGGACGTCTTGTTTTGTTTATCCGACGAGTACTTCCCACAGGAGCCCCTACACTGGCCAGGGCAGGCTGAGCCACGGCCTTGCTCTGCTGGACAGTCGGCCATCCCGTCACAGTTCTCAGGACCCGGTTGGAGAGTTCCTGGCTGTGTCCGTCCCCGACCGTAGGCCGCTGAGAGGGTCCTGACTGAAGCATGGCTGGCGGCCGGCTCTGACTCTTTGGCGCCGCTGGCGGGGGTCGTGACGCAGACTTCGGACGGACGGCCGGCTGCGCCCGCCGAAGCAACGACGCCTGTCCACGAGCTTCCGCAGCCCCGGAGCCGTGTCTCCGGGTGGCCGGGGCGCCCGCGCGAACCCGCGGCCCACCGAGGGCACGCCTGCTCAGCAGAGCCTGGCCGAACCGGCCTGGCTGGTTCGCCGCCCATACGCCAGGCTGCCTGCCGGCCCGTGATTGGACGGTGAAGTACGGTCGTCCTGGCCTGCCCACGACCGGCCGGCCGCCGCCCGGAGGCTGGCGCTGCCCACGCCGGCGCACCGTCTGGTACTGCGGCCCGCCGTACGTCACGAACGAACTCGAGCCCGCGGCGTCCGCCTCCCCAATGACGTAGCCGGCATCCCCGCCGTCGTAACCGCCGTATCCCACGTCGTAGCTGAATTCGCCGCCGCCGTAAGCGTCGTAGCCTCCTTCCCCCACGAACGACTCCACGAAGCTGCCGTTGGCGCCGACTTGCTGGCCGTAGCCGCTGGGCTCGATCAAGCTGAAGGCCTCCTCGCCGACGAAGAGGCCGTAGTCGTCTTCTGCGGCGGCCGCCAGCTGTTCCTCCGTCTGGTTCAGCTTGTGCTTGAGGAAATGCAGGCGTTGGTCGCGGCGCCGACTCGCCAGGAGCGCGTCCACCGAGTACGGCCCGTAGAAGTAACCCACGCCCATGGTCAGGTACACCAGCAGCGACAGCGCCGCGCCGTAGTTGAAGAAGATGAAGGACGTCTGCGGGCCTGATGCCGAAGGTTAGATGCTAGAATATGCGCCTGATGCGCATTGCGTCTCAGCATGGGATATGACAGCACCAGATGGTGACCCGACGTAGAAATGTGGTATTTTGTACATAGGTTTCCACTGTACTACAACCATGCCCCTCAAACACATGCAGTGCAGCTGAGCAGCATGGGTCCCCGGGCTGACAAAGACGTTTTCCCCTCGTAAAAATCATGATTATAGCTTTAGCTACTTTTAATCACTGATTATAGCTTCCGACTACTTTATGCGATCAAATGTGCTTACTATTTGGGTAATAAGGTCAGATGTGAGGATATTTCGTGTTTACACAGCATGCACAGACACATACACACGTCGGTCATGCTGGTCAGCTTCCCTGACGCAATTCTTCTCAGACTGCCTTCGCTGACGTCATTATCAATATATTTGTACACTAGAGCATATCTTGAAGCATATCGCGAGGTTTCCTTCGGCCGCAATGTCCCTCAGCACAGTCAGAGAACATAGTGAGCCCAGTGCATGTGCATGTTCGGTGCATGGAACCCGCCTGGAGGTGGAACCACTACTAGCATCAAATGTCAAACGAGATGTCAGTGCTGATCTGAACAGCGCATTAGTATGCTAACCCATGCGTAGAACCCGGCGGCTGGTGACCTGCACGCACGGAACGGCAACAGGCAGCGCCACGTGCCAGCGTCCGCCGACCTGACCCGTCTAAGGGTTCACTACCCCCCGCACCTTATCTGATCCATACCCTAGAATACTCACATACTCTTAAACCTAAATACTGGATGTCGTGTGGAGCTGGAATCAGGCCTTGCGATCCTATTCTGGATGATATAAGCTGCCTTTTAGCGAGGTTGAAAACGTTTTTAAACAGTGTAGTTTGTATTTTACTCATCATCCCCACCATTTCTTAACCTTCGATTGCTTACATATTCAAAAACCCGTGATTCGCCAATATTCAACGCAAGCGTAACCTGGCCGCAATTCTGTCGAAGCCGCAGGCGGCGGCCACGCTGCGCTGGGACCCCAGCGCCGCGCCGTGTCTCACTCGCGGCCCTCGGTTCTGACCAGCGTCAGCTCCGGTCCCGAGGCGTGGCGCGTGAGTGGCCACCGCAGCGTGAGCTGCTGGCACGGACAGCTGTGGTCCCATGTCAGGTGGGAGGGGGCGACGTCGACGGCTGACAGCCGGGCATTCGGCGGACGAGTCTGCGATCCTGCGCGTCAGCCCAACACCTACCATGACCGTTACGCCAAGATGTGCACCACAGTTCAGTTTCATTTCAGGCCTACAGTCTGTATTTTTCAAGGTAGGGGCAACGAAAGCACGTAGCCCTCCCCCCTCCCCGCAAAAAAACCTAATTCGCGCATGCAATTGGATAAATGTCGACCATAAAAATCCAGGCATCCAGGTAAACGTAAGTGGATTGAAGACGTGAGATGTTTCAAAACGTCATGAAAGAAACTTGACGCGTCTACGACGCGCTAAGGCGGCTCTTTCAGCACATTGAGTTGTGCCACCTCTCACTGTGGAAATCTGTTAACGTCATTGTTCATCACATTGGCATTTCCATATCAATCGACATAGAGCCTGCCATCTTAAGGTTCTGTTGAGCATTCCAGCTCCATTCAATGGCAGCTTCTTAGGAGGCCGCCAGACACATAAATTTTTGACTCAATACCAAAGGTGACGAATGCCTGTCTGGGCCTTAAACACCTGGCGGACAACAGCCAGCAAACCAGACAGACAGACCCAGCAAGCACCCAGAGAACACCCAGCAGTCCGGGCAGACAAACCAGCAGCCCAAGCAGACAACACACAGCGGACCAGGCAGACAACACCTAGCGGACAAGGCAGATAGCAGCCAGCGGACCAGGCAGACAACACCTAGCGGACCAGGTAGACAACACCTAGCGGACCAGGTAGACAACACCTAGCGGACCAGGTAGACAACACCTAGCGGACCAGGCATACGACCGCCAGCAGACCAAGCAGACAATAGCCAGTGGACCACTCTCCACACAACACGCAGACTGTGTCCCACTCACCGGTCAGCGACTCGCCGGTGAGCTCCTCCGGCACCAGCACGTCCTCGTCGAGGCCGCCCTCATCCTGCCTCGCCTGCACCCCGGCGGCGACCGCCTCGTCGACGCCGTCGCCGCTGCCCTCAACGGCGGCGTCGGCCGGCGCCTGGTCGCCGCCGCCGGCCAGCGCCCAGAGTGTGTCCCTCAGCGCCAGCGCGACGGCGCGAGCGGAGGAGGCGGGCGGCTGGCCGCTGGGCGCCGCGGCGGCAGCGGTCAGCAGCAGCGCCGCAGTCAGCAGGCAGACGCGCGCGCCGGCCATGTCGAGCCCCGTGTGACGGCTCGCCGGGCGGGAGGCGCCCCCGCGGCGGCGCTGGACCGTTAGCGGGCGCCCGCCGGCTGGGCGGGTCACCGAAAAACAGGACGCAGTGCAAGCGGCCGCGGGCCGACCGGCTCCGCACGGCGACCCAGCTGGCCCACTGACCCCCGCCGCAGAGCCCGCCGGTTCGCCATGGTTCGATTAAGAGCTGGTTCGCCGGTTCGATTAAGAGCTAGTTAGCAGCATGCACTACGGCCGTACAGGTCCGCACAAGTCAAACAGGTGGCGGAGGATATCATCACCTCTTTTCACGGGAACAGGAAAGACGCCCTGACCAGGTCTTACGCGGTCAGGTCATTAAGAGGTATCCACGCCCAGCGAGGGCGACATCCACCGCCGCTGCCGTGTCGCTGCCGCTCAGCGGAGCGGACGGGAGTGAGCGGCCAGAGCGGCCAGAGCAGAGAGAGCTCAAACACGATAGGTACATTCAATGTTCGTGTGGTGTTTAGGACCAGCCAACGACAAACCCTGACAGCAGGGATGTAGATTCCCCTTCTGTTTGGGGGGGGGGGTCGGCCCCCTCCCCCAACTTGGGCTTCAGTCCACAACTTTGGGAAGAGAGCGGGCAGAATCCGGGAAGAATCCTGTTGGGATATTTTGGGGGCATGTTGGGTCATTCTTCATTGCTCCGCCTCGCTCCCCCCCCCCCCCCACTCATGTTGCAAAATTACAGCCCTGCCTGACAACAGTCATCAAAGCACCTGACGTGGCCGATCTCACCAAAAAACTAGAACTGCATAGAAAGTCTCATGCAGCCGCGGCAAGTGTTGCTAAGATAAGATGGCAGCCGTCAAAGGTAAGCTCGAAGGTTCTCCGAGGAAATGACTAGGCCCCAGTATCAAGCTGAAGGAGCCCTAAACTGTCCCCAGTGCTACCGCACGTTCATATACATAATCTTTGGTAGCAGCGCGGTGCCCTACGAGGAAATGGAAAGAACCCATGACCAATGTGAAATGCACCCGAGCCCTGGGTGGTCGAGTGCCCGGAAAGTCAACGCACCGGGACCCGTTTGCCAGCGCAGGGCTACTGGTCAGCTCAATGGGTCAGCTGGTTTTGGAGAGCAAGGTATTCTTGTCTGCTCTTTAGCACTTTTCGCATGTGCCCATTTCTGGTCGCAAAGATGCCTGATATCGTCCATTTTTGCGCTTTGAGTTCAAAATTTTAATTCATTCGGCAGGTTTTGGTATTTTTGGAGGGCAAATGGGCATGATTTATCTTTGCATTATTTGTGTACACTTTCCAAAGGAATGGAGCCAGACTGCGCTCAGGTCTTTCAATGGAATGTATGGTGCTCAGCCGAACAACTCAGTTCTGTTTCCGACCGGATTTCGATGGAAACGTGTATTTCGTTCAATGCAAATACGTCTGATGAACCATTTTGGAAACACCGCGCCCGAATGTCAGATTCCACCTGAACAGCGGGGCGGCGCCGGGCATTTCCCGAGGGATGCTCCAATAAATTTAGGATCAAAATGAAAACAGCACTGCAAAAACCCAAGCGATAAAATTTAAGGATTGCGAGGGCTCAGTGACAGTTTGAGTGTTTCTTTTCATGCACCGTCATAAGTGTAGTGCTAAATTATCCCAAATGCTGTCAGCGCTGCTTCAAGCGTGTTTGAATGCGATCTCCGGGGCACGCCGCCATGCCCTGAACGTCGTCCGAATTCAGGACGGCATGGTAAACGGCATGGTTAAGGTGTCCGATGTCTTCCGAGCAGGGTGTCTCAATTAATAACGCACGTGAAAAAGCAATTACCTGTACTTTGACTCCAACGCAATGAGAACATTGGGTACACCTGCACGTATGCAACAAGGGGACAGGCAAGGATGCTCAGCTAGTCAACAGTTTACTTAAAATGTAAGCGGTGCATGTTGTCCGTCAAAACGAAAAACGAATAAATAAGTAGTTTGAACCCATGAAGTGTGCCTAAAACCTACCGCTTCGAAGTGAGCAAACTGAGGTAGTGGCAACGTTCCTGCTCCACTCAACCCGCCTTGAGAAAGAACTCAAACCTATGCCTTGAGAAAAACCACCGAGGACGTAATAAGTGTACGTGGTGCACAATCAGGTAAGCCGATGCACTTCTGCGATTGTACTTGATGCAACCGCTTGAAGAATATATATTCTGCGTGGTTTTCGACTTCCTAGCCTTCTTATTAATCTTGGACTTCAGACTTTATCTGTCCAGAGATTGCAGTTAGGATCAATGCAACAAATCCCAATGTCCCCGATATCTTGGAATTCACTCGTGAGTGTGTGCTGAATTTTCTAAGGCTCAGTTTTGAAAAACATGATTGCCGCACTCTAGGGAGGGGGCAGAGTGGGGATAACTGTGAACTTTTACCTCAAAGGCACAAAGCATTTAAATCGAATAAGGGATCCACGCAAGCTGCCTTCGAATAAGTAGCGGGCGTGAGACTTTCAATGCGAATGGAAGGAAACATTTGAAATGCGTTTCTACATACATTTGTTCCTGCAAACATTTCATATGCGTATTACTTCGCCGTCGCGAAATATTGCGACGCAGATGGATAGTGGTACTTATCCCCCTGCCACACGTTTCACTGCATCCCCATTTTTCACTATTTCCCCTGAATCAGTGGTGGGCGTAGGATACACAGCGCACGATACACTACCTGGATCCAGGGGATCCAGGGGATCCAAGGATGTCTCAGACAAAACAAAATTACAATTGGTGTTGGGGGTTTGAACAGAGGAACTTTCAGTGCGTCTTTTTGCGGGCAATTTGGGTGTAAGCGGCTGCCTTTCACCTCACTGGCTACATTTGCGAGTGAACGTCTTGGTATGGCAAATGATCGAGGACTTCTAATTGGCAATGCTCTCCTGCGTGGATATATATAGCCGGCGGTCGGACTGCCGGGGTCCGTCTTCGCACGCGCCCGTGGTCAAACGCTCCGCCGACCGTGCTACGCCGCCCCCCCCCCCCCCCACGCGCAATGCCAATGCGGCACAATGGAAAGGCATCCTAACCGCCTCCTACCCAGACCTTTTAGTGCATTTTAATGGAAAATACGTGGCAGACATGTGAAATGAATAAATGAGGTTCATCATGAGTATACAGCACGCCTGAGTTTTCAGGCGAATGGCTTAAAAAACGACAGTGCCATCGCAGCCACAGCACTCGACTGATTAGTTAGCTTTTCGTATAGCGTTTTTTTCAGCCACGCCGCCCAGGGGGCCTGCCAGCGGGCCGTTACCCCTCCTCACCAGTGCGTCGCTCCACAGCCCGCCGGTAGCCAGACTGAGCAGTGCGTGCCGGGAGTTGGATGATGGCGGATGGGACGAGGGCGGACGCCAGCGACGGCAGCGGCCGCTCACTGCTGGGCACGACGGCCAGCGACGCCCTGTCGCGCCAGGCCAGCGTCCAACTGCGGCCGCTCTACTACCGGCGTGCGACGCAAGCCGAATCGCGGTTGCTGCGCTCGTCGGAGGGCGATGGCCCCGACCTGGACTCGGCCAGTGTCCCGGCGCTGTTGGCCAAGCCGTCCCGCGTCGTCTCTGGGGTCGTCATGATCGAGTGAGCTCGTCGGTGGCGGGGAAAACCACCACGGAGCGGGAGTGCGGGAGGCGCGGGCTGCCTCGGCGCGCCAGGTCCAGTTGATTACATGACTTTGGTGCGATCATTTATATTGTGTGCCTTCGCCACTGGGTGACAAGGGACGCACCGCTGCAGTCTGGGCGAACAGCAGACAAAAATGTGCGCTGTAAGTCTCCCGGCCGGCCGGGTTGAGCCGTCGCAATGGCAGGTGGTGCCAGTGCACTACCACGAATTCCACTGCAGTGCTGTTCTTGAGCGTAGACACTAAAATTCTGGATCACTTTCAGGCGAATTTTAAAGTTGACTTCAAGAGACCCAGGCTGAACATCACATGAGGGTTGTTTCCATACACCGCAGTGCATGACATTCGGCGTATCATCGATATCGGTTACCACTGGCAGGGCATGCTCGTGTGGTGAGATGACTGAACCGGCCCCGAGCTAACACGGCGCAGGCAGACAGTGGAACTGAATTTCGATCAGACGTTAGTATTTAATTGTGTCAAGTAGAATGCCGTGTACTACGTGCATGGAGACGATCGGTATTTGTCAGATCTTAACTGGGCTTCAAAAAAACGGATTTCAATATCCAGATTAACGGATTGTTTCACATTTTGAAGACATTAAAGCAGGCGTCCAATATTATGAAATAAGCTCACTTAAACTTTTTATCTACCTTGAGTGCAAAAGACCGCTTTAAAGAACACATTTTCTCTGTTAAGCAAATGTGCTCCTTACCACGTGATCGTTTCATTACGTCATCGTACCTTGCACAACATTGGTGGAGAGCCAATGGACAGCCGTTGTTTGGAAAGCGCGCTCACGAACGCCAGATATGGACGACTCGACAGTTGCATTTGTATTGGCCTTGATCGCCACATAGCTAATGAAATGGCAGGATTTGAATGTTATGACATCGTGGAAGCCTGGGTGCCCTTGAAATAGTATGCACATATTCGTGGAGCTCTGAAAGTAGAAAGGTTAAGGTCTGCAAAGTGCAGGGCTGTGAACTGCACCGAATGATTTTCAAGATCCTATTCAGTTCAAAATCCTATACATATGAGGAGCATCCTCTTTAAACGCGAGCTGCACGTTCTGCTTAGAAATTGTGATTTACTACCAAAACCGTACATTACATGCATGGCAATGATTGGAATTCACGGTTTTGTGAATGTACAGGGTGTGTATGCTTTGCACTTTGCACTTCACTCTCAGCATTCCCAGAGTAAAAACCTGATCTTGATCGCAACACGCCAAATTCAAACCGTTTTGGACAGGAACGACACGCACCAAAACATTGAAGCCGACGAAGAAATGGTGAAGAACCTGACGAGGGAGAGGAAGCATTGTCTATGCTGTCTTGTCGTTGTTTTTGTTCTTCTCGCTATCCTGGCGACCGTTTGGGGTGAGTGAACCAATGTTAGACCCACGCGACAGATATCCGAGCAACTGTGACTGTGAGCATTTGAGTAAATAAATAAGGGCACTCCCTGAAAAGTGTTAACTAAAAGCACTGAAAGCCACATAAGCAAGTAAAGCCATGATATACCACAACTCCCGTTGTCCAAATGCAATGTCACTAAAGGGTTCTGTGAATCGTCCACCTTTGAGCACTTCCCCAGATAGTATTTCTAAGCTACTGCCGCCTCATTTCAGTTGTGATGACGAATCACTTGAGATGATCGCAGTGCGGATGAAGTGGAGCCAAGACACAAATTGCCAGGCAAAGCTGCCGATGGGTCACATCACAGTACCCGCCACGGGAAGAAGAGACCTTCAAGTACGGTGGACGGAGTGGCGAGCTGGCGCGAGAGCACTCGTAATAAACTGAGTATACGGTCCGGAGCTGTGAAAATACCAACCGATACTGAAAAATGCTGAGAAATAGGCGACAGCACTGCGCCAGTTTCTTCTTCACAAAAGGTAACGCTCTGCGCGTCATCACGCCCGTGTTAGGGGTCGCCGGCAACTGCACTGGCCATATTGGCGTCAACGGGCCATGGCGCAACCGGGATTCAAACCTGCTTCAAGTTTAAGACGCCAGGGAGATGGGCCATATCGGCGGCGCCGAAGGGTGAAAGCGTGGCCAAGTCATACAAAACAAAAACAAAACAAAACAAAAGCATTGGCCGAGTTAAGCTGCTGATACATGTCCATTGTTTCCGAGAACGTAACACGTCTATGACGCATGAGTAATTTAAGACGTGTAAAACGGGAAACGCGTTAACAAACGTTTCGGACGAAGTTCGTCGTAGTTTGAGCGGCGGCGGTGTGCATTTGGGGACCGATTTCAACCTGACAGGTGCCAATCCGGCATAGGTTACCTTTGGGCAGCCAATACCAAGACCATCAGGGCACCAACGCCATTCCTGTTTATATGCGATTTTGATCCCAGGATCTTGAATGGTCCCAGCCGTCCAGCTGCTGCGACCATTTTCCGGAAGTGGTCCTAGTGCAGACCACGCCAAATAGCAGCCCCCAGCCGTTTTTCAGCCGCCATCTGTCTTCGTCGATGCACTGCCCTATATCTGTTACCTGCGACCGCTCACTGGTATTTCCGGAAACACCGGTCTGACCAGAACCACCGGTCTGGTCGGAAACACTGGTCTGGCCGTTTACACCGGTCTGGCCGGAGACACCATCCCGGCCTGGCCCAGCTCGCGACACGACCTCGGCTCAGCTGGCTCTGCTTGCCAGCCGTCACGCCGCGCCCGTTCGCGGCCGGCCACTGAGACACACGATTTTCACCGTCGCATGTATTGTACAGCCGGGGCCTAGCTTTCCGAGATGGTGACCTCCACGTCCACGTCGGGCTCGATGTTGATGGAGGTGATCTGCTTCACGACCTCGGACGTGCTCTGCAGGTCGATCAGGCGCTTGTGGATCCGCATCTGGAACCTGGCGAGCGCAGAGACATACTGTGGTCAGCTGGTGCCCCGGCAGGACGGGCAGGGTATCGGCAGGCATCACCAAACCAACCGCCAGGACCCTCACCAATAACAGATAATGGCCGTGCGCCGCAGAACTTGGATAAGGCATACAGAATTGGCGGAGCGGTGGCATGGCATTTCGTCATACAACGCAAATGCCCTGAGAACATAGGAACGAGACATTTCCTGGACATAGCCAAGAACTGCCTGAGCGACTTGCCTTTCGCCATCAGTTCTGATGACAATAACCGTCCTTCCCCAGATCCCGTTATCAACATTATACTACGGAGGGATGATAAGGCTGAAAAACACCGTTAACAGCGCCATCTATCATTATCATTTAGATGGTTAACAGCGCCATCCAGCGATGCGAGCCACATTTCAAATCCCCTCCCCAACAGGTGATAAGGTCAGATCTTTTAGCAGGCATTCAAGCACTCACGGTGTGTATAGATGGCCAAATATTGCATGACTTTTAGGAACAAAAACGTCCCATGCATGTCCGTCGATCGGAGTGACAGATTACCAAGAACGATCACAGAACGTCATCCTTTGGGCACCTCGCCCGACATACGGAATCTGCGCTTCCTTGAAATGTGGACATAACTGCGCCACATGACGAACAGTGCGTGGCGTATCGGTGAGACCCACGGGTGGAGTGCGTGACCGATTGGCAGCCTACCGAGATCATGCCACCCCAGAACTCGATTGCCCTTGGTATATCATCCAGCCGGCAATAGCAGGGTAAAGGTTCAATGCTGTGGATGGCGGCATTGGTGAACGCGTGGAAGGTGCGCACGTGGCACACCCCGCAACCACGTCCGCAAGTTCCTTGCCCGCGATTCCTCAATAAGTGAAACCTTGCAAAGAACTGCCTGATTTCCCGAAAGTCAAAGTTGCCAAGCGCGTCGCCATGACAACCAGAGGGCATCGTGGGTAGAACATCCTCAGTCACACAACTGCTACGGCGATCAGACATGCCCCAATGTAGGATCTCGCTGCCAGACTCCGCGTAACTCAGTACGGTGCTAACGGCTACGGCGCCCAATGCAATACACTGTGGTGAGTGCTGGTACCAGTAATGAACAGATGGCGCGGTCACGCACAAATGCTGAGCCCCGGATCCACCTGTGACCGTCCGTGCACATTCTTAATACGAGGCGAGCCCCACGGCTCTGAATCCGGAACTATCCGTATTCACGCACTGTTTCCCAATTTGGGCTAGTGAAATGCCTACTGTCAGTGCAGGCAGTAGGCATTTCAGTAAGCAGCGATGGCATTTCATCAGCACCATCTGATGGGGTGCCATCAGGTGGCGCTGTCCGAGTAAAACCCCCAGTCTGAAGCCAATCTCTCAGAACGGCCCTTCAGCTCAGACCGCAAACGGCTCAT